TTTGATGAAGCTGTTACAAACAAAAGGTGGAGACAAGCCATGGAGGAGGAGATCAAGTCAATAGAGAAGAACAACACTTGGGAGTTAACAACTCTTCCCAAGGGTCATCGAGCAATTGGAGTGAAATGGGTAAACAAAATAAAGAAGAATGCTGATGGAGATGTGGAGAAATACAAGGCACGACTTGTGGCTAAAGGCTACAAAAAAAGGCAAGGCATTGACTATGAAGAAGTCTATGCACCTGTTGCCCGCATGGAGACAATTCGTTTGCTGATCTCTTTGGCGGCGCAAATGAAGTGGAAGATTCATCAACTAAATGTCAAGTCAACCTTCTTGAATGACTATCTTGAAGAAGAAATCTATGTTGAACAACCATTGGGATTCGTGGTCAAAAACCATGAAGATAAAGTGTTGCGGTTGAAGAAAGCTCTATATGGATTAAAGCAAGCCCTACGAGCATGGAATAGTTGCATCGACAAGTATTTTCAAGATATGGGTTTACTCGTTGTCTCCATGAATATGCTCTTTACCTTAAAGTTCATACTAATGGAGATATCTTACTTGTTTGTCTTTATGTTGATGATCTTATTTTCACGGGTAATAACCCAAGTTTGTTTAAAGCTTTTAAGAAAGATATGTCCCGTGAGTTCGAGATGACAGATGTAGGGCTCATGTCATACTACTTGGGCCTAGAAGTGAAGCAAATGGAGGATGGAATTTTTATCTCTCAAGAAAGCTATACAAAAGAAATATTGAAGAAGTTCAACATGCTTGATTGCAACCCTGTGAACACACCGATGGAGAGTGGGACAAAATTGTCCAAGTTTGATGAAGGAGAAAAAGTGGATCCCGCATTTTTCAAAAGTCTTGTGGGAAGTTTTAGGTACTTGACTTGTACCAGGCCAGATATACTCTTTGCAGTTGGAGTAGTTAGCCGATTCATGGAAGCTCCTACCTCCACTCACTTGAAGGTCACAAGAAATATTCTTCGTTACCTAAAGGGTACGATCGATTTTGGATTATTTTATTCTTCTTCTAATGATTTCAACCTTGTGGGGTTTTGTGATAGTGATTATGCGGGAGATATTGATGATAGAAAAAGTACAACTGGTTTTGTATTTTTCTTGGGTGATTGTGTTATTTCTTGGAGTTCAAAGAAACAGTCCATTGTTACTCTCTCGACTTGTGAAGCCGAATATATAGCAGCAACATCATGTACCTGTCATGCTATTTGGCTAAGAAGATTATTGAAGGAGCTCAATTTGCCACAAATGGAAGCTACAGAGATTTGTATTGATAACAAATCAGCACAGGCACTCGCGAAGAATCCAGTGTATCATGATCGAAGCAAGCATATAGATACAAGGTATCATTTCATCAGAGAGTGCATTGCGAAGAAGGAAGTCGAGCTCAAATATGTGAAGTCTCATGATCAAGTTGCAGATATCTTCACAAAGGCTCTCAAGTTTGAAGATTTTCAAAGATTGAGATCAAGACTTGGAATGAAGAAGAAAAATTAAAATTAAGGGAGAGATTTGTAGGACCCCAAAAAAAAAAGTGAAACATTGAAAAAGATGAAAAAGAGGTCAAATTAGGTGGCTTGGAAATTGAATGGGCGGCTGAAGAAATTGAATGGGCGGCTGAAGCAATTGAATGGGCGGATGAAAAAAGTCAATTTTGTGTTGCTGAGAGGTTGGCAACTTTGCCTATAAATAGAGATGCCTCCTTCTCTGTTAAACACACCAAAATAAAGAGAGAAACAACATATAGTTAGTGAGAGTAATCCATAGATTATTGTCTGTGAGATAATTAGTGAGTGATAGTAATATTGTAGTGAAGTGTGTTAAATAAAGAGTGTTATTTCTTTCAAAGTTGTAGTAGTTTCTTGACACTACTAAGTTGCAATATTATAGTGATAATATTGCTCCACTCGGGTATTGTATTTTACCCCGCTAAAATATTTGGTGTCATTGTTACTCTCTTGTGTTATTATTATTTGCTGTGGATATTATTCATGGGCGGGATTATTTATTTTATCCCAACACTTCTACCAACCCTGATCTCTCAATCAACTTAAGTTCAGCCATAGAGTCTGCATACTCATACCCCGACCTATCTATCAATGCATACACATACTCTTCCCAGGCTAGATAAGGTAATGATGTCTACTTCTCAGATAATCAAAATGTAATTCAATAGCTATATTATCGAAATTATTGAAGCTACCTTAACCCTCTAGAGTATTCTATTTCATCAAGAGAGAAGAATTGTTCTACCTTGCATAACCAAGCTCTGAAGTTAGTACCAGTGAAACGAGGGAATTCCAGCTTAGTCATCCTTGTCATGGTAGTTCCTCTCGAAGAAGTAGCTGCAGGTTGTTGGCTTATCCCTGCAGTATCACCACCTCCCTGATTACAGGTTAAAGTTTGGCCCTGAACAGGACCTGCAGAGGTTTGAACTTGAGGTGAAGCAGCACCCAAAGGAACCTGAGATTGAGGCAAATGGCCTAACCCCAAGTGGTAACCAACTGAAGTCTGTTGTGGAACTCTAAACCTTCCTTGGTTGTTAGTTACCCAAGTAGCTGGGTTACTAGAAGGAGTGTAGATTTTCCCAACACCATCTGTTTCTTCAACACTCTTCCTTCCATCGTATTCTTCGCAACTTTAATATATTCCTTCAGTTCAACAAAAGCTTTCTCATGTTAGTTTTCAAGATAAGTCTGTCGAACCACAAAATTTTTACAATTTCAACAGTCATCCTTTCGAACATAGATTTAATCTCGTCCATATTTTTCATAAATTCATCCACATAGCTCAAGAAAGTGCTCTAATACCAAATGTTACAAACTGAATCGAGCAAAAATATATAAATTAGTAAAAAGCAGAGAAGAAGCTAACTAGGTTAAGAGATGTTTTTGATTAATAAAAACAATGAAAAGAAGAATAGTTGCAATTTATACCCTCCAAACCCTAGCCGAATCAAAGAGCAAAATGAATAAGGATTCAATACAAGACTATAAGACAAATTCGACCAGGAACTAGATGGTGACGTCCCGGGATATTAACGTGCCAAATGCATAAATACATAAACTTCTACTAAAAATTATTGATGACTAAATTGTACTCCACATAGCTTCTTTATAACTCCTTAAGTAGCAACTAGGTACTTCTCCAGTAGCTTTGAGTCCAACCACAATTAGCTCTCTTTTATTTTCAGACTTGATTCCGCATCACTTAATGATGGGCAAAAGTTAAAGCAACCGAGCCTATATAACCTTTAAAATCTACAAAATTGTTAACAAAAGAATTTTAATAATAAACCAAAATTTAATATTTATGAAGGGAAACTTAATTCCATTGGCTGTTAATGTGTTCATTTCTTTCTTAGGTTGCAGTTGGTAAGACTAAAGCTAAAGGTATGAAGCTTAGAAAATGAACAGAAGATTTCTTAAAGCTCCGGTTGTCATGTGTTAGCTGTATAACATTTTATTGGTTCATTCATTATGTTTGACTGCAAGGAAGAGTTCAGAACCAGGATTTTGCACTTGGTAAGATACTTTTTTCACTAGGTAAAAGTTACCGTAATTATCAGAAAATGTAACTACATGTATTGCCAACATTACCCCTGCTGCTTTGGCGTGGACCTTTAATTTCTTCTCTCTTCTTTTTCTTTTTTTGAAAATTGTCTGTGAGCCATATATTTTCTTATTTATTAAGTAGCCCGGAGAAAATGCTGTCAGTATCTTTTACATAGTTAATTTCAAGCAGTAAGAGCGCATTGAACAGTTCTTGTCATTAGGCCATCTATCTCATAACATGGCTCTTAAAATTTCAAGGAATTATTTTTATCCAAGAAATAAAAATCAGAATTGCAGCAAGGAAAATATGAAAATAAAAGCTTATGTCGGAGATATATTAGTCGAAAATGTCGATCGAAGAGTGAGGGGCACCATCCAAAGAACAAATTTGAGGCTTTAAATATTGAAAACTTTTGAACAGAGACGGGAACTGAAATTCCATTAACATTTAAGACTTTATGAAGCTAAATCAAGAACCAATCCGCACTTGCATATATCAAAGCAACATTAATCCTCTAGTTTTATGATACTTATGAATATAACAAAAAAGTAACGATCCAATAATAGTTTATGGCACAAGACTCAACATGAAGCAAGACATAAATAATGATAAAAGGGAGAAATAATATAGAGGATAATTAGGTCCTGGAGTCCAAAGCCATAATACTGCTGAGGTTCATGGGGTTCATGTATTCAGAAGAACCAGTCAAAATCTGCTGCACAATGATCCTGTTGGCCTTTTCAGAGGGATGGAATGGATCCCAAAATGCATATAAGTCCCTATTTGGACACAGATTTGATAATGGTGTGCATAGTCCTATCCCATTGTATGGTCCTTGTCCACAACATGCTATCTTTGATGTCACAAACCCTGCTCAAATCCAATACCCATTTGTTACATGCATGTCACTATTTTGCAACAAGTTAACATCATTATAATTTTTTTTTTTGTTTTTGTTTTTCAAGTTACATAAGGGTAATAGGGAAGGTGAAGCGGAAAGGAAAAAAGAACAGTGACAATTGAACTCATACGTATTGTGTAATAGATTCTTACTGGTACACTAGATCCTATGGGTTGTAGCAATTTTTATAGTTTAACTTTGTCTTAAAACATAGATAAACACGTAAAGTTGGCACAAACTGTCAGTTAAACACCTTAGATAAGCTGCAAAAGTATATTTCATGCACACCCAAACCAACAAATCAAAAATGAAAAAGAGGCGCCATATGTGTCAAATATTTTTTGAGTTTAGTTTTGCTTGAAGTTTTCGAGTTTTTAACATTTCTATATATAAGAAAATATAAATCACATAAAAATAGGTAATTTGGTGTTTGTTGAGATTACCATAAGCCTGAGGATTAGAGACAAAATCCATGTGCATAGTATAGGTGTTAGCAGCAACAAAGACATCAGCAGCAAGTTGAGCATTGAGATCACTCAACAATTGAGTCAATTGAGGGTTGAACAAAGAGGCTGCACGCTGCAATTCCACTGCACATTCGCCAGTTCGGCTCCTCTGTGCTAATTCTGCAGGCACACACCCCATTGGTCCTGTTCCCGTCACTAACACTCTTCTTGCTCCCAACTCATACAGCTTCTGCAGTTTTTGTTTTTCCTTTTAGTAAGTGATATAAAGGAAAAACAAAAGAATCTCAAAGAAATAATTAATAATCTCTCCAGTCCTTTTTGTATGTAGCTTAAAGTTTTGGCACACCAACTACAAAAATTATCTAATAATATTAATCATAACAATATTTAACTAAAGTATCCTTATCTTTTATGAGTAATTAATAGTAACTGCTATACTTTCTCTCTGTCCTAATCTGTGTGATACTCTTTTCTTTTTTAGTCTATTAAAAAAAATTATGCATTTAAGAATAATTTATCTTTAAATTTTTTATTTTCCTTAATAAAATAATTTATAGTTATTCATGTGTCTCTGATTTGTTTTAGACCACAAATACTAAGGTGCTTTCTTCCTCCCTACCTAGTTAAACAACATCGCATTAAGTGGTACAAAGGGAGTACCTTATTAGGGTAGCAACAGTTAAATTGTAAAATAAAATAAATAAAAACTAATTAACGGTTTCTTGATTTTCTAAAATTACAAATGTTTTGGACCAAATATTATTTGTGGATTTAAGTGATAGATAAAAAGGACCAGGCAAAATATTAATTATAAATTTTTGTAGGTAGCTATGGCAATGTTAAAACGAGAGGGAAATATTAATTGGTGACTAGCTTAGAAATCAAGTCTTGTAGTCATAAGCAAAACGCTATCTTGAAAATATTTGAAAGTATGAGTATTGTCAAGGAAATTGCACTTCTAGGTTGTTGAGTATATATAATTATCCAATAGATATTGATATGCCATGATTTTAACACGTCGAAAGTTACTCGTAGACCTAGGTGTTTGGTACATCTTTTTTTATCTAATAAATGCATATTTTCAGATAGGGTTCTTAATGATCATGTGAAATGCTGGTCTGTCTCACCAACCAAGCATTCATCACATCACATTTGCATGCATAGCCCCTTTCTTATATAGTAAAATAATGCTGCACAATCCACTTACCACCCTGCGAAACTTCATTATTCTACTATCTTCATTGTAATTTCACTAAAACACTATGCATCTATAAAATAATTACTTGACTAATTCAACAAAGATTTCAGTTATATATATCGAATTTTAAAGGTAAGCATTTATCATGCATAGTGTTTTAAGCAACATAATTTTACAAATATTCTTAATATAAAATAAACTCTTCTTCATGAGTAATACATGCAATCCGACAGCAACCAAAAAAGAAGAATGCGGAAAGAGAGATGGGGAGGGCTTTCATTACCTGTAATATTTTTCTGTACTCATAGATGAGATAACGAACATAATCTGGGAGGGCAAATTGGCGAGATCTTGCAGAGAAAGGGACCAAATAATAGTTATTAACAAAGTCATTACCCCCAAGAGTTATGAGGACAAGAGCACTATTCACTAGCTGCTGAGTTTGTTCTGCTCCAATTAAACCACTTACCCTTCTTTGATATTGTTCAAAGTACTCCAATTGTTTCCCAATTCGGATTATATTCAACTGAAAATAGAATAAACTCATAAAAACAAGTCGACAACATATATATAACAGCACATTTCGGTCTAAATAAATTAAGAAATCTTGTGTTAGTAGTATAAGTATTTTCTTTTTCACATATTAAATGACAATATGGAACTTTAAATGTACGTTTTTCTTTTATGACAAAGAAATATACTATATAGTACTAGTTGACTCGACAAAAATCTTTCTAGTGCTATGTGCATGTTATCCAATAATTCAAGAATCCATTATTCAAGTTGTGACAACAAAAAGGAATTAAATAACGGTACAGCTTGCATCTTACAACAATGGTTGATCTGTACGTGTCAAAAATAATTACTGACTAATTAAATATACATTGAATATACATATATTGTATGTATACTATATATTAATAATATACATGAATATACTGGGTAGATTCCCTATTTGTGGCCAAGTACGTAGGACATGAATGATATGTGGTAAGGGAAAAAAAAGCTGGCAAGAAACTACCTATAGTTCGCTCCAAAAAGGAGTTAAATAATAATAGAAGGACAAGAATGAAAAATGTGATGTTTAAATTTACAGACTCTTATTATATTGCACATACAAACTGGATGCCAGTGTCATTGAGGATTCCAACTCCAGCAGAAGCAAAATTTGCCCCAACAAGAAGCTTATCTCCTGTGAGCTCTGGAGACAAATATGGCAATGTTGGCTCCATACCCAATTGCTCACCTTAAAAAATAGTAGTCCATTATTAGCACATTATCTCTATAATTATAATCTAACAAAAACTTAATTTTCTTGCTCACTAACAATGTAATTTTTTTTCAAACTTTCAAGTTTAGTTGACCTATATCATCAACAAAATAGAGTAATAACCGATTAAATTGCATTGATAGTATAAGAATATATATATATATATATTGTACTGCAAATAATAAATCAAAACCAAAAATATTAATGCAAAACCAATCAAACTTATGATATCAGGTTCGTTGACCTATTCTTCATATCAAACTTGATATGGTAACATAACAAGTAGAATAATAAATGCAGAAATTAAATAATCATACTTATGATATCAGGAATATTGAGGCCATTAGAGAAACGACCAGTGGGGCGATGAGAAGGGTAATCAATGCCATAAGGGGGAGAATCAGCCCTTGCACTAGTGATTAGGTAGTTGTTGTTACCATTATCGACTAGTGAATCACCAAACACAAAGAAAGCTCGAGCTTCAACTTTATGAAGTGAAAAAGAAAAAAGTGAAAGCATTAAAATTATAGCAAATGAAAAAGAAGAGAATGAGCAACTCATCATTTTAGTCATGAGTTTTGATAGAGGAGAAACTTTCTTTGCCTAACAGAAATTTGCTGTGGTGAATACAAGTATTTCTTGGCCATTATATAGTAGTAGTATGGCTAGTTGAGGAGTGAAACCCTCAATAAATGTTTTCTTCTAACTATAGCTACTACCATCAGTGTAAGAAAGTACACTATAGTAGATGGTGTTAATGAACCACTGCTTGAAGCAAAGCTGCCTAATTGCAGCTATTCTCCATATTCTAAAAGTGGATGGCTTGTTTTGCTTCCTTTTTTTTTTCTGAAGAAAATTTTACTAATTTTTATGAGTAAATAGCCAAAAAAGTTGGGAGGGATCTCTAGAAGGATATTTTCTTCATAACCGTGGTGTCCGAGCCAACTTGTGCGTACTTCGACTAATTTCACAGGATATCTACCTCCCACCAGTATATAAGTACCGGATAATTCTAGCTACTGAGGCTTGGACAGATAAAACAAATCACTTAATATTTTTGCCTTAGTTAGAATTTGAATATGAGGCCTTATGGTTTATAATTCACTTTGTTAACCATTAGACGACATCCTTAAACGTAAAATTTTTAGAAGGATATTCATGGAGCTCCCTGATGTTGGTTCATCTTTTAATAATAAATCTATTGCTAATATAGCCAATTATTAGTTGCTTCTTAATTAATTCCTTTGTGCTATTCAAGTAGCTTTAATTAGGAAGAATTATTTGGGTACCGAAGCCATCTCCAAATACTAGATTAGAATATGCTAATTTAACATCGGGTTCTTTTTATTTTGGGTTATCATTTATTGTAACTTCAGTTGATGAGTTGTTTGCTCAAAAAACTATAGACTAAAACAATTATTATCTTGCTTTATTACTTAAACCTTTTAAATATTGCTTTTGAATCTTTATTTTTTCCAAAAACTCTTTCTTAGAATTTTATCACTGGTTATGAAAATATTTCATATGAGGCAATGACACAGATTTAATATCAACTTTTATTTTTCGGGGCAAAAGGGAATCAACCTGATTAAAAAATTCTTGATTTTGTTGATGACTTGACGTATCAAGAGAAAATAAACGGGTTGCAATATTTGTTACGTGCAAGGAGATTTTGATTTGGAAAACTCATTTTAAAATCGACATCAAAGGCCATCCTTAGTCAATATCAATCACCCATTGTTAGCAACTCATGGACAATATTAATACTACGAGGAATCATTGTCTAGGTTAGTTGATCCCCTAGCTAATAATTATGCTGTTGGAAGTTTCAACCTAAAGCTAAAGTATGTTACTCATAATATAAGCACATGATAATGTTTTTTGTTGGAAATGAATCTAAGACTTTTGTCACGAATCACGAGACATAAGTATTGTTTTGTTTTTTTAAGATTGATGCTCTGGTTAGTGACTTCTATGGTCATATTAACATTTAAAACGTCTTTGGCCATGTGTTCATTTTAGATGTGGGAGTATTTTATTTATATGGTGATGCTAAAGTATTAAATTCCAAATTAGGATTTCATTCGCAGTGTTTGCATATGCATAAGGAGTTGGTAGCAATATGAGCTTTATCAGAATATTTCTAAAAGAAAGGTTATTAATAGCTTAAAATTTCGTGAAAAATAAGGGGAAAAAAATTAGAAAGTAAGATGCTATGTAATCCACCAACAACGTAACAATAACAAGTATGCTTTTACACCCCGAACAAGTTGACAGTCAATGTAAAATTAAACTTCCAAATTCATGATGAATTTTCACTGAATCCGAAAAAGAAAATTAACAGAAATATTATGAAAAACACATTTATATGCTAATTTTCAAAGTTAAACTATGTGATTGTTAGGTTATAATAAAGACAGTTTCTCTGGCCAAGAGTGTGATCAAGTTGGTAGAGAGCTCAAAAGTGTACAGATGAGTGAAATCCCCTCCTGGGTTGGTGAGAAGTTTTATTTTGTGTCTCATACAACTGACATTAATTGTATGAGACTCATTTTTGTCTCACAAATTTGTGGACCCCAATCTTACACTTCTGGGTTCACAGAAATTTGGGCCCACAAAACTGTGAGACAAAAAAATTGACTCATACAACAAGTGTCAGTTGTATGACACACAAAATAAAATTTTCCTCGGTCGTTGGACTGCTAGTCTGCTACATCTTCGTCAGGCGATTTCTAATTGTGAAATGACCTTTTTTGCACTGAGTATCTGGTATTAAGATAGCTCGATAATCATAGTGTCGTAGGTACATATATAATTAAGAAGATAAATATAGTAAACTTATATTATGGTAACTAGACAAAAGTCCATGTGATGTCTAGTTTGATTTTTCGAGTTAATTCTACAATGGGCCGACCATTTCATGTTTAAATAAATAATTAATGAACATAGATGTCCTCAGTGCATGAAGGCAATGATAATTTAATACGGTATTTTTAGGTATATATATATATGCAGCAAATCATCTAATATACCTTGGAACAAAATATCCCAAACAAATTAGGGCGATATAATCCTTACTTTGTTCTTTAAGCTAATCTCATATCATAACCAAAATAAAATAAAAATGAAAGTGAGAAACAAGTTAAGTATATTTAATAATAATAATAATAATAATAATAATAATAATAATAATAATAATAATAATAGAAGCTCTCTAATAAGTCAAATTTATTCCTAATTAGCAAGTTTCACCTGTATGGATCTTTTTCTTGCATTGTGCCGTATTTTTAGCTAAGTTTGTATTGATCCAATGATTTAATTGTAGTTTTTGGAGACAACTTTCTTTCATGTGATTTTAGGTTTACCTCATCCCTTTTCAATACTTTTACACTCACCATAGTTTTAGATTGACGGATCGGTGCATCTGTACGACGACGCAAGACATGACCAAACCATTTCAAGCGTATGATCGCACTACTTGCGCCTTTTGGAGAATGCAATCATTTTTAATCTTATCTAATCTTGTATGATTGCACATCTATTTTTAGCATCTGCATCTATGTAAAACTGATCTTTTGGATACGTTGGACTTTAGCAGCCTAACATTCATTGCCTATAACATACTTAAATTTTATAGTTGTTCTATAAAACTTACTTTTTACTTTGATAGACATTCTTCTATTATATAATACCCCGATAACACTTCTTCATTTTAACCATCCGGTTTTACTCTCCTATGAGTAACATCTCCATTTATCATTCTATTATCTTGAAATAAGGAGCCTAGAATATCTAAATTATTCGCAAGTTGGCATCACAATCTCATTTAATCTCACCTCAACTTCATTCTTTTCATGTTGACTAAACTTGTCATGTATGTATTCAGATTTACTAGACTAAAGAATACCAAAGCTTATAGTCTAGTAATTAATGATATCAATGGAAGTACTCTCCCACACAATAGACGTGAGTTAACTTTTCCTTCTCCTTTCCCATGTAATAAAAAAATTATTATTAAAAAATAATCAAAAGGGATTTGAGAATTGTGAGAGCATAAACCTGGTAGAGTGCTTGCAAACAGAAAGGAAGAGAAAAGGAAAGGAAAGGAAAGGAGGTCAGGATTAAAGATAGGCATGTGGTTAAAATAAATGTTGTGGGGTAATATTTCAGCTACCTATGTGGCTTTCATAGCCAATTTAACATTTTTCTTTTCCGGCCCCGGCCCCGGCCCCGGCCCCGGCCCCACTTCTAATACTGTTTTTTACCTCCCGGCAAAACCCAGAAAAAGAGGAAGAAAAATACACACACAGAGAAAACCTATTACTATATGCGTAGTTTCGAGTTGTAACTCTTTCTAATATCTATTTAAAATCAGCCCATTAACGTGTCTTATTAGATTTGGTGTGCTATATCTTAACTTTAAGTATGTCTTACTTACGATCTTGAAATGCGATTCGAACTTGTTCTAAGTAATGTGGTCGCGCTTTGATTTATTTTGAGTGTAGTAGGTCTATGGCACTGATATATTCTTTCTTTTTATCTTCTTGAGTCGAGGGTCTATCGAAAACAACCTCTCTACTCTCTCAGGGTAGGGGTAAGATTGCCACGACCCTAAAACCGGTCCGGTCGTGATGGCGCGTATCGTGAAACTAGGTCAGCTGACACAACTCTCGAATTAACCATTTATCAATAAAAGTCATTTTTAAGCTTTCTAATTAATCAGATATTTCATAATGTAAGTCTAAATGAACAGTGCAGAAATAATATACAAGCCCGACATCGGGGTGTCACAAGTCACGAGCATCTACTAAGGTCTGGATACAACGAAAAGACTGAAGATGTACTAAATACAGGCTAATGAAAACAAGAGGGAGAAAAGCAGTGCTGCGAACGCCGGGCAACTACCTTGCTAAACTCCGATGACTCTGCCTCTGAGCAATCAACACCCGCTACCGGGTTCAGAAATACCTGAATCTGCACACAAGGTGCAAGGAGTAATGTGAGTACTCCAACTCAGTAAGTAATAAAGGTAAATGAAACTGAGCAGTAAGAAAATACGTAAACCACGTCAAACGCTACAACAAATGCAGGATATTTCCAACACAATGCAGAAATCATTTACTTCGTAAATCATGCTCAGTTTTGGTAAGAACCTTTTAAAACAAGTTTTTAATAGTTTCAAACGAGTGAGTAAACACGATAGAAACGTAAATAGCCCATCGGGCAAAACATGTACCATAACAACCCCTCGGACATAACATAAATCAAGAACCGCCCCTCGAGCAACAACATAGAACAACAACATCCCATCGGGCTATATCACATATCACATTGGGTAACCGCGCTCACTGGGGGTGTACAGACTTCGGGAGGGGCCCCTTACGGCCCAAGCGCAATATCAAGCCATCTCGTGGCATAATCAAATAGGCTCTCGGCCTCATATCAATCCACCTTGTGGCATACAACTCAGGCCCTCGGCCTCATCATCATAATCAGTACAACACTGTTGCGGCGTGCAGCTCGATCCCATAATATACCTCACAACACAGACCATCGGCCCTACTCAGTCAGAAATCTCTAAAAGCCACTCGGGCAAAGTAAAACATGATGCTCAGCCCAAAATATC